ATAGTCTAAATTTTAAGTTAGTACTTAAAAAAATAAAATTTTTAAATATAACAGATTTAATGTAAAAGTGCATTATTTAAATTGTTTAAAAAAAATTAATTTTAAGGTATTTAAAAATTAATTCAAAGATATTTTAACCGTAAATGCTAAAAAAATATAAAAAATAAAATGTTCTACCATTAAAAATGTTAAAATATTTTAATTTTTAATTTTTTTATTTAAATAAAATAATATACAAAATTAAAAAATAACATGAAATCTAGGGAAGCAGAGAAAGGTCATTAATATTTGAAAGAGCCAATTCATGAAATAATCGTAGCTTATCGCAGTCCACATGTCCTCCTTAACAGTTTCCTCATTTATCTCGTCCCCTGGAATTAAACACGGTACTAATAATGAGTGATGACACATGTGTAGCAGCGTGCATTCTGCTCCCCCTCTCATGACTAAAATCCCTGTTTTCTTAATGCTTCTTCCTTCCAACCTCCGACCCTCTGGCATTGTGTGGACTAATTCACGTGCACCGGGTTACCTTAGTACTCCCATTATCAATGCCATTAATGTAATTCGCCAAACTTAGGAAATTTTGGACGGCTTGAAATCAAAATCCACTCAATTCCCCCACCTAATTTTATAATAATCTCATAAAAGCCAAACACTCCTACCATCCTAATTAATTTTAAGAGAAAAATATTTATCAATTACATTTTTAAAGAGTTAAGAAAAAATATATCATAAAATTATGTTATTTTAATGGATTTTTATCAAAAAAATTAAAATATTTTATTTTTTAAAACATAAATTAATATATTTTTTGTTTTTATTTTACTCTTTTTCTTACTAATACAATTAGACAATCACTAATCATTAAAAACCTCAAAAAAGCAACATATTTTACATTTAATTATAAAATCATTCTTATATTTTCAATTTTAAAATAATAAATAAATATTTTAAGTGTAAATCTAATCAAATATTCACAAATTTGGCCCTTTCATATTAAATTCTGGCTCCACCATTGTTTATGGTGGATAAGAAAATATAGAGACTTGCCCTCGATAAGAAGAAAAGGTGTTTTTGGGTGTTGGGGCGTCTATTTGTTTATGTATTTTGTTCTCGAAAAAACCATATTAATGTTGATAAATTCTCATTTACATCAGTGCAAGTATAGGGTATCCCAAAGGCTTTGGTGCTATATTAGCTTGAGATACATTAACACTTTGAAGCCAGGAAAAATGGCAAAAATTTTGGGATCTGTTTTGAGATTACTTCATGAGCTGCTAGTTTTCAATTCCACCTCCAAGAAAAAAAAAAGTGTAATAATATATATAATTAATTAAATACTCTTAATAAACCATTTTTGTTTCATACTAACAAGTTAATTCTCTCAAAAAAATCCTAACCCATCTTTTCTACTCCTTTGGGTGACAACCTTCCTAAGAACTTCCTAGGTATGCTTTTCACTTCGGGATTTCTGTAATGATTCTACCTTAAGTTTTCTTCTTTTCTTTAGGTTTTCTATAAGTATCTTTATTCTTCTTGGGTTTCTAATGGAAGTGTTGTTGTAATTAAGGTTGTCAAAATTGAGATTTTATTTAAAATAATTTTGAGTAAGTAAAAT